AATGTGCTACTGTAGCTTTGAGCTCTGTTCTGACTGGCTGTCCTGTATTGTGCCATATTCAAATGGGCAGTTTGGGCTGAAACACTGCTTAGAACTTCAGCATGAGTGGGTGAGGCTAAAACAGCTGTAGGCTGAACAGGTGGATGTATGTAAATGTGCTGTTTTTTGTGACATCACAGAAACAGTTCATTCAAAATGGGGCTGTTTTTCTAGCTGTTTCCACATATGGACTGTATGGGCTGGGGAGTGAACAGTATGTGTTTAAATTTGAGCAATGCTAATATATAATATCAAACACTTTTGTTTGAACAAGTGAAAAAAAAAAATCATGTTTCACCACTTTCCCATTACATTGGTCCATTGTTTTGGCCATTATTCATGATATTAGCATTAAGAATTATGAAGACGTCAATATTTTACTGCAAAAAAAAAACAAAAACAAAAAACAAAAAAAAAAACAATAATGCAAGAGCATCATGTACAAACTACTTAATTACACTTTTTAATGAGGTTTATTTGTATTTATTTTACTTTCTTTTAATTCAGTATTTGGTAAAGTATTTTATTTGCACCAGCAAATTAGTGGTTTGCCCTAAATACTGTTTTATTGTGTATACCTTATACTTTACCTGACACTTTTTTATTTTTCACTCCTAAATACAAACTAATACATTTAGTTCAGTTCTGTCCCTTTCAGTCACTGGGCACTCTATTCCAGTTAAAACTATAATAAAGTTGGGCAATATTAATGCAATAATGGAATTTCCAGTTTCACAAAGTTGCAGAAGAAGAAATAAAACTTTGCATTAGCGATAATGATAGTTCTTCAGTGATAGTGTAACTCTAGCTTCCTAAGGCTGTCACTTCACCAGAGGATTTAGAGAAGGAGACAGCACCTAATTACTCTAAATCAGCTTCTGTATCTCCAACCAGCTCCAGGAGAAATTCTGCAGCACTCTGTTTGCAACTCTAATCTGCCACATCAGATCCAGCTAATCAACGTCTTCAAGAGCATTTATATTAGAGCCACATGCTAGATTAATTTGAAAACTGAATGTTGCAGTTTTTATAATGTAGAGATAAATTATTAAAAACAAAGCTTCCTAAATGGTTCTTGACTCGCAAAAAGCATTCTATAAAGCACTGCAATTACAATGATTCGTGAAAACAGCAGAATTCTTTTTGGTGCTATATAGAACCCTTTTTGCTAGAAGTGTAAAACTGTATGTCCAAGTCAAGAACTTTATAGGAACCTTTGTTTTCAACAATGTATCTCTTTAAAGCTCTTTAAATCCATATACAGATGGACTTCCATCATATAGATGAACCATTTGCCATGCAAGAACTTTTTATGTATTCAAATGATTCTTTAAGCTGTCATGCTTCTATCTATCTAAAGGCAACCATTGCCTTTACTAAAAAAGCCTTGAAGAACCCACTTCTTAAAGGTGTAGGAAAATCCTTTAGGAAAATCCTCTCAAAATCTCAGGCTCACTACATTCTAAGAAGTAATATTCAGTGACTACATGGAAAAAAATGCAAATTGGCTGCCTTATTCTGAAGTTACCGGAGTGAGGAATGGAAGCCTGGATGTGCCAGTGGGTTTCTGGAGAGCTGAAAATGTTCCTCACATTTGCACATTCTCATTAACAAAAATAGTTATTTAAAGAAGCATCAACTGAATGGTTCCTAATCAGACCAAAGCAAGGGTTCTTCTATGGCATCGCTCCAAAGAACCCCTTTTTGGTATCTTCATTTTGGGTCTGGATTTATCAGTGCATATAATCCTGCCGTACTGCCCTACAAGCCTAATATGGCAGGAGGTTCTTTGAACTTAAAAAGGTTCTTCACCCTTACACATTTACCAAGAAAAGTTCTTTAAAGAGCCATCTATCTCCAAGGAACCCTTTCTGGCACCTTTATTTTTGATGTATCTCCACTAAGACTTTAATCTGCTACAGCTTCAGCACAATCGATTCCTCCTGATATCCTCATTGTTTAACAAAAAGACAGATCTGCGACCTTAATGCTGATGTTGAATTTGTACCTTGCTGGTAGCATTCAGGCAAAGTTGCCTGAATGTGTTTGTTCAGTGATCGCAAATTTCAGCTTTTCATTTTCTTTCATTTTTCTTATCATCATTATTTGCAGTAAAATTTTTAACCAGCATTAGCTAAATTTTCATCTGGACATTGATTATTAATTTCTTTTTATTTTATGTACTTTTTTTTTGGTGAGTCAGAACTACTTTTTCAGTCATCAGAATTGCTTAAATTAAGAGGCATTTATCGACTACCAAAGTTCTTTAGCCTACTGCAATACAAGGTTAAAGTGACATAGACCTTTACATTATATAGAGGTTCTTAAAACTTTAAAACGGTTCTTCACATTTGCATATCACTTATAACATAGTTCTTTAGAGAGCCATCAGCCCACCAAATTTCTCTTGATATACTCATTCTTGTAGGAAAACATGGCCTTTTTTATAAAAGGGCCAAATTGTATTGAGTCAAAATACCTGAGGGCTGAAATATTATGATTCAAATGATTCAAAATACTATGCTTTCAAAATATCAGTGCATAAAATCTGAGCTTTCTGTGAGCTACTGTGTTTCCTATCACTGTATAAAAGATGCACCAGACTTCTTCTATGGATTGGTCAGAGCGATTTGGATCAGCAAGCACTTAAAAAAAGGATAAATTGTTTAAGAGTAACAGTTAACTATGTCTAATGTATTAGGTATATTCCTATTCAAGTGTTTACATGTTTAAAAGATAATTCGTGAGACCATCGTTGTCAGATAATGTTCTTTACATGTCAAATAAATGCAGCAACTGCATTCAGAAATCACTTTATTAAACATAAAGAGCAGATTAAACGGCAGAGGTTTTTGTTCAACCTTAAAGGGTCAATATTTACAGTTGCTTTGGTTTCTCTGCTCTATCCTGTAATGTTTATGATTTGTTTCATGTCTACTGATATGAAATTCATTACAGTGTTTTGACATATTAAGCACACACATTTGCTTTGGCTCTTGATAAAAAAGTAATTCATTTTCCATCTGGCTGAAAAAGCTGATCCTCAGTGTTATGTTTGTGATGTAGCCTTGACTAAATGTCTAAACAGAAAAGAAAGGCGCTTAAAGTTTAGCTAACTTTATTAACACAGTGCAGTGCATTACACTGTAAATTTAGGGCAATACTGCCACCGTCAGGTGAGAGGAAATTTTGTAATGTATTGGCTGGCGGGCCACTTACAACACACTCTTAAACAGAAGCGAGGGGCCATCTAAAATCTGCCCGCAGGCCACATTTGGCCCTGGAGCTGGACTTTGGACACGCCTGTTCTATGGCATTGCTCCAAAGAACCTTTTTTGACACTTTTATTTTTAAGAGCATTATCTCCTAAGACTCTTTGGTGCTACAGCTTCAGCCCGATAGATTTCTCCGGAAATGCTCATTGCTACATGAAAAACATGGGTCCAAAACTGTTAGTCCTGTCCACCAAATTGCTGTGGAGGTTCTTTAAACTTTTAAACTTTAAAAAAAAAGCCACTTTCAATTCAAGAATCTTTCAATTTAGGGTTCTTTGGAGAACCATCAATTGAAAGGTTCGTGAGTGAACCGAAAATGGTTCTTCTATGGCATCACTCCAACAAATTCTTTTCGGCACCTTTATTTATAAGAGTGTTTCTCTTCTAAGACTCTTAGCTTAAGCTCAATAGTTTTATCCAGACATTGTAATTGCTATAAGAAAAGTCTAAAACTACCAGTGCACACAATCTTTCAGCCTACTGACATAAACATTATGTGGAGGTTCTTAGGGCTTTGAAAAGGTTCTTCACACTCACTTATTCACTAAAATACTTCTTCAAAGATCCATCCAGTGAAAGATTCCTGAAAAACTAAAAAGTGGCACTACTCCAATCGACGTTTTTCATTTTTAAGATCTCCTCTAAGATTCTCAGGTGCAGCAGCTTCAGCCCACCAGATTCCTCCTGGTAGGCTCATTGCTAGGATCCAAAAACATGGATCCAAGACTATCAGCCACACACAATCCAACCTGCCACCATACAAGGCTAAAGTGGTATTGACCGGGCGAAGGGACTAAGCTGCGACAGCCAGGGAGCGAGGCTTCACGCTGAGACACATTTATCTCTGACAGCATGTTAGAAACTGCTTGGGCAGCAAAAGCTTGCATGAAATTTAGACCTGGCCCTTGGTCTACCTGCCAATAATTGGCATGGCCAACGTGCAATTATCTAAGGTTGCAGAGGCCTATGTGGCAGACGAACCGTGGGGAAGCCTGAGTGACCATCAACAGCCTGCCATGGGGTTGACTTCCTTGCACAGCTCAGCTAGACGTGTAGATTAGAGCCTGAAGCCCTGTAGGTAGGCACCACCCCAGATGGACTGGAACAGTAGAGTGAGCAGTAATTGGGTGCAGCTTGCCAGGGCGCTTAGCTGCCTCATGACAGGAGAGTTGATCACACGAACTGTGATTATGAACTCTTTCCTATGCCTTATCATACTGTGTGGGAGTGCACAGGCCATATTACTCCAACATATGAACTAGAATAGAATTGCACTGCATCTTGCATTTGAGAAAATACTGCAAATGAGGACAGTATATGGAGACGGAGCGTTTTTGCACATCTTGTAGATCAGTAAGGTTTAGTATCTGCATAAAATAAGGATTCTTTGCCACGAAAGCAAGAAAATAACAGTCTACAAATCTTAAAAATTTCACCACCCACACCTGAGCTTTAGAGTGCCTGTCGTTCTCCTCCAAGGGTTTGGGACAGCAATGCAATGATTGCACCATGCACCACCAGGACGCACTGGCTCCTTTGCCACTCTTGCTTTTGTGTGTGTGTGTGTGTGTGTGTGTGTGTGTTTTCCTACGTGCAAATGTATAATCAAGCACTTTCGCCATCCCTGAACGCTGCTTTCTCTCTTCCAACTTCTACGCTCGTGCGAATTGAAGCTGGTCAACTCACCCATTCTCCAAGATGCACGGTCCCTGGCTGGCCCGGTCACTCACTGCTGGTCACTGGTTTGGTAACGGTCTCTCACGCTTTCACTGATGTTTTTTTCTCTGTCTTTCTCTTTGCTTTTACGTGTGCAGCTCGCCTCTTTCCGCGCGCTGCCACCGCCGAGCTGCTGCTGACCCCTCGCTGCTCGGTCCAGTCCCGCACGCACCGCGGACCATGGCGATCAGCCGGCACGAGATCCAGAAAAAAAATGAAAATGACGCGAAAAAGAGAAGGAAAAAGTTGGCAGTAAAACGGGTTACGTCACGATTATTATTATTATCGTCAGTTAGTGTTATTATTATCATTAGTTCGCGTCCAGCAGGGAGCCGCTACCGCGCAGCGCTGAGTCGAGGCTGCATCCTCGCGCGTTTGTGTGAGGGTGTGCGCGCGCGCGCGCTTGAGAGAGAAGCTCCGAGAGTGTGTATGAAACTCCACCTCCCCACCACCACCACCAACACCACCCCAGCACACGCGCACTCCTCCGGCACGAGCGGCCGGAGGAAAAAGAGCTCCTCGCGCTGTGAAACTACAGGCACGCCATCAATCACTAATCATCAATCAGCGCACGCGACTATGGTCCTGATGGTGCATTGTAGGCTAATCACTCACACAGGCAGGAGGACCCTGTGCTCACTGTGGACACTGTCCTGGAGAGCAGTAGTGGACCATCATGAGCCCCGTCTACTTAGAAGCAGGAGCTGCCTCTGTTTATATTCTACAAGCACGAGCTGTTGATTGATTGATTGATTGATTGATTGATGGATGGATTGATTGACTTTATTTCATGACTAAAATACATACAGCCATTAAAATCACGCATGATTCAAACACAATAAAAGCACTAAAGCTTATTCCCATTGTGGTCCTCATCACATAAAACAAAAGAGTAAAATTGACATGACAAGCATCTAAACAATACAAAACAATCATAAAGCACAGCTGCCAGATGACTTTCTGTTCGAAAATTTCTGTTAGGTAATTTGTATTTGATGCTGTCCAGGGATGTGGTTAAAAAACCTCGGCTTGTGAATATTTAGCTAAATAACCATCTTTTTTAAACCAATCAAAATGTATTTTCTGATGGACCACCAACTCTGATGGAGTTCTATAGGTTGGCTCCACAGCAAAGCTGCAAGAAGGACAACAGTGGACATCTGCAAAGCCATTTTAGCATTTAGTCCACAGATAATTCACATAAGAAATTAGTTTTAAATAAAACACGAAACACGTAAAATTAAAATTAAAGTATTTTTGCTAGTAAAACATCAAATTTTCTCAAAATTCAAAATGAATGTTTTATGTTTTAACATGTAAGAGTTCCGCTCTCATGAGTAATAATTCACGTTTTTTTCCCCATTCCATTTTAATGTGAGGAAAATTTACTTTACTAGTGTGAACTGAAATTTAACATGTGGTAACACTTTGCTGTAGGGTGCTGTTCAGAAGACTACATGATACCTTCATAAGCTTGTCATGACAATTGACATTTATAATGTTTATAAATGCGTCATTCGCTATAAAGTTTACATTTGCCAATTTTGTTCAAAGTTAGCTAAATTAGCCTTTATGATAGATGATACCTTCTGGAGGAAGCATTTATAAACATTTATGTAGGGTTATGTCAGTTGTCGTGACAAGATTATGTAGGTGTCATATAGCTTTATGCACAGTACTGTGTTACCCAATTTAGAAGTTGATTTCTTACTAGCTGAATCACATGTACAGAGTTGGGCAGAATACTGTGAGAAAGTAGTGATGGCTGAACACTTTATACACTGTCCTGAATTTAGAAAATGCTGTAATACATCTTGATAAACAAATGGGAAAAACTGTTGTATTGCTGTTGTACACTGTTAGAAATAAAGATACTGTGCAGGTACATTTTTCATTCATCCAGGTACAAACAATGTAAATATTCCCTCAAAGGTACAACAGTGGTTTTAAGGTCCAATTGTGGACCTTAAATAGGTTTTTTATTCCCAGGTGAAAAGTACATATTTGTATCTTTTCATAACCTAATGTTTTAAAACAGAGCAATAAAATGAAAGGCCTGGAGACGAGACGGGGTGTGTGGAGTCAATACAACTTAGAAAATATAATTTCAACGGATTATGTTTCATTGACTAAAGGTACTGAGATGTACTCTTGAGGGTACCACCCCAGTGACAAGAGGGGTACTGCCCCAGTGACAGTTTACTACCTTTATTTCTGAGAGTGTATTTTTTTTTATTCACACTGTTCCTTGATGTTTGGTTGACAGTTTTTCTTCATGTGAATCTTCTGTTAATATGTTTCATGAAAAAACCCAATCCCCCTGGGCAGGACTGCCACCAGTCTTGTGAACTCAGAACGCCATTCACCATATCCCAATAATAAAATATTGAAGCAATAAGCCACGAGACGCCATGCGTTACTGTGATTTGATGACGGGGAAGGGTGTTCTTAGGCATGGCGTGAAGTGGCCAACATAAATTATGATTAAAATACACGTTTTCAGTAAATAATTTAAGTTATTATTATTAATAATCAACATAAACATGCATTCTGCCAAGAAAGGTAGTTCCATTAGTGTATGGTATCATTGCCAAGCAAGCATGGAGCGCTGAAGGCAGAGAAGAACATTCGGTTGCCCATTAATATGTACTGTGGTCATTTCATAACTGTTTGTCTTATATTAATGAATATATCATAACATATCACTGTGTTATGCCTAAGTACTTTTTGGTTACCAAATTACCACCGCAGGTCTTAAATAGCACCAATCCCACTGCACCCCGCTTCTTGTGCCAGGGCTGAATCTCAAATGGCGCTGTTAATATGTTTCATGAAAAAAAAAACACATCCTTACTTGATAAATGATGTACTATTTGACAGTAGAAGCTAGAATTTCAAAACTTCCATAGCTAGCATACTATTTAGGGAGTACGTAAGGTGTTTGGGATTCAGCCTGAGTTTGATGCCGTCCAGCTTATAAACACTTAGATTAATAACTGGTCATCACATTGATTTATCAGTCTACTCAGGCTTTAGCAGAGCTCAGTAACACTGAGATTAATAACTCGTCATAACATTGATTTATCAGTCTACTCAGGCTTTAACAGAGCTCAGTAACACTGAGATTAATAACTGGTCATCACATTGATTTATCAGTCTACTCAGGCTTTAGCAGAGCTCAGTAACACTGAGATTAATAACTGGTCATCACATTGATTTATCAGTCTACTCAGGCTTTAGCAGAGCTCAGTAACACTGAGATTAATAACTGATCACATTGATTTATCAGTCTACTCAGGCTTTAAGAGCATGCATTAATGGTTGTGTTTTTTTTTTTATTTATGCAGTTTAATACTTTTAAAAAGAATTTAAAAGTATTCTAGAAATGTAAAAAATAACTGTAATTGGAATAAATGCTTTTTCAAAAATGTAACATGGACTGAATACAGATACTTCAGTTCTCCATTCTGTAAACACATTCCCAGGTTCTACACAAATTCAACGGGTACTTTCTTGAACATTTATATTATGTGGAGGTTCCTTTAACTTTAAAAGGTTCTTCACACTCACACATCTCATTTACAAAAATGACTCTAAAGAATAATCTATTGCAAAGGTTTTAAGGAACCAAAAATAGTTCTGGAAAGAATTCTTTTTAAGTGTGCTGTTACAAACTTTGGCTGCTTTGCTCACAGTCACTGCAGCACACATGGTTGCAGCGGAAGCGAAACTTGCTAAACTGACATGAGGAGAAAAAAGTTTGTCAGCATCTGTAGGAAGTTCTGTTGATGTTATATAGAGCATATTAAATGGATGTTTTATTAAGATTTGTGCTGAGGAAGGCTGCTAGCTGACTTTTGCAGCGTGTGCAGCAATGTTAGCTGATTTGGGATTAGACTGAGCTATATGTTACTCAATATGTCTTGGAGAGCCAGATTAGAAGAAGAGTTTAGTCAGTGGTTGAACTGTACATTGTCAAGAGTGGGCGGTGGGTTCACGCAACCCAGTGGGGAGGTAATTTAAGTTGGGGGAGTTATTATGAACTTTAGCTACTTCCTTTTTTTAGCACAGGAAAACAGGCCTATTCAGGTTCCTCTCATCTTATTATACTGATTAGACTGCCCATTTATCTAATCACATTACACAGTGTTCATAATTGAAAGTAATTATATTATTCCATTTCTTTCCAATGAAAAACATGCATTTACATACGTGTTCTTTTCTAGTATGTGTGTGCTCTGCATGCTCTTCTGAACCAATTTAAAGGTTCTTTATGGAACTTTTATTTTGAATTTTAAAATAATTCTTCATACTAACATGTCTCAGTGACAAAATGAAGGTTCTGTAGGGAATGAAAAATGGTTCTTCTATGGCATTATGCACAGAATTCATTTTGGCACTGTTGTTATTAAGAGTATGCTTAAAGAAAATGAGTAGTATTGATATTTTCTTGTGAGGATTGATTCTCAAAATAGGATCAAAAGAATCAATATTTAAGCACTGACCACCCCAGACAGGCTCAAGAGGAAAAAAGGGCAACAAGAACATTAAACCTAATTTAATTTACTGTTAATGCAATCGCTCTTATCAAGAAAGACTGTGAAATCATGTTTCAGAGAAAACCAAACACAGACTTTTTCCAGAGGCAGCCCAAAGAACTGACATTACTATATTTGCAGGGATTGAACCCCAGTCGCCATCATGTAAAGCTATGGCAATACTTATTACACTATTTGAAAGGGAAACATTCTGTAGAATTCAGTGGTTGAGATGTAACTAAATTCATTCAGAGTGGTTTGAGGTGAAATGCTTCATGTGTTGAGAAATGTACAGCTTCAGATTTCCATACAGTGGAGGTGATAGGAACCAGGGGTCACTTTAAGTCATTTTATTTACTATCCAAAACCACCAGTGAATCTACACATGTCCTCTGAGTTTTTATATATAATGTTAATGATTATAGAATAGTGGTAAATCTGAACCAATACATTTTCTTTGGGGACTGTTTTGCCTTTGTGCACACTACTGTAAAATAATATCTCAGACATCAGGC